TGTCAGTATCTCATGCAGCTCACTGATCCAGTAATGAGTGACCCGACAGTGAAGAATAAACATATTTATAACTAGTGTAGCTTGGCGAGACGTGCGAGTATCTCTTCACAGGAAACAGTGTGTGTGTGTGTGTGTGTGTGTGTGTGTGTGTGTGTGTGTGTGTGTGTGTGTGTGTGTGTGAGAGTGTGTGTGAGAGTGTGTGTGTTTGTGTGAGAGTGTGTGTTAACATTGATTTCTTTCTTGCCTCTGTAGTCAATGGAGGGTTTGGATGCCCCGAGGATTCTGGGAGTGGCCGAGCCCATGTCCAGTTCTGTCAGGGTTAGCTCATTCATGAAGTAAGGTAACTGAGGAAGACAGAGGAATATAACTGAGCTGAGCACACTGGACATGAATAATACATCAGCAGATTATCATCTGACCAAATTGAAGGAAGTGGTTCATCACCATATATCTGTCAAAGAGTATAGGATGCCAGCATGAAAAAAAAGAAAATGGATAATGGAATAAATACACTTCACTTTTTAATTAATCATATTTAGTCATCTTTATCTAGATTACTTTTTTAGTTTTGTTCCATAAAGAATTATAACATTTTAATATGTTGTAGTCATTCGATTATTTGTGTTTTGTCAAAAACATGATGTTGTGTCACACAGAACATAACAAATAGGCATAACCTACATACTGTATCGTCCTAGCTGAGGGGATACAAGTGAAGGATGAGGTTTTCCTGTCTTTCTCCCTCTGCATCTTTACTAAGTGTGAAGCTGTACAGAGATACACACTGACATTTAGTGAGCTGTGTGTGCGTGTGCGTGTGCGTGTGTGTGTGTGTAATTTGTTATGCAAAAATGGCATAACAAATGTGGACATTTTCTGCTATTCTCTGTGTCAAGTCAAAGAAAAGGAAATATATTTAGATTTTGGACTGACAAAACAGGATAATGACTTGGACTTTCAGAAATTAAAATGATCGTTTATTTGTAATCTTCTGTACTCTTAAAAATGTTTCTCTTGTCTGGCTGTTTAAATGTCCAGCCCTCTTACAGTGAAAGCTGGTTACGCTAGTGGCCTTGCTCCACTCACCCGTATCTTGCTGAGCTTCATCTGAATCTTCTTGGAGACCAGCTCAGCCCAGTACGGCTCACACAGGAAGTCCCAGAAGACCCGGCCCAGAGTGGCATTCAGCCAGGCAACATGATCCTCCTCCATCACCTCCTCCTCTCCCTCCTCCCTGGGCGGCGGCTGAGATGAAGTGGTGCTCTGGAGCTTGAGAAACAGAAGGCAAGGAAACACATTAGAGGAAAATATACCAAATCTACCCATGTTAAAATCTAGGTGGATAAGGAATAATATATTGTCACTTTAAATGATGTTATACTGCAAATATTTTATAATTCAGAGGTTTGTCATATTCTCATTTTACTTGCTTGTTTGTATATATTTCTGTATAATAATTGTCTGATCAAAAATCTTTTTATTGCATTTCGACAATGCATAAGTCATTTTTGTCATTTAGAAGTGGGAAGCAAAATATATGCAAAATGAGACAATCGTCTGTACCGATTGTATGTACAAAGACAACAAATAATTACAAAAAACACAAACAAACAATAACAACAACTAAAGTAATCCCCTACATTCACGGCCAGTGAGCCTCATACACACAATTATTTAACCGGAACATTGTTAAATGAATGTATATGCATGTAATACATATGCATATTATACATACATTCAGCAAATACCTATAACCAGGGGTGCACATAAGTGGTACGCAGGTACGCATGCGCGGCAACAATCTGAAATGCGTACCGTCACTTGTGTGACAAAGCGCATTTGCGTACCGACGTACTTGTGAAGCTTTTCCAGAAGGCGGTTAGATCACCGGACGACAGAGTCGGTCTCCGTGTGCACAGACAGGGTTGCTGTTAACGTCGGTCTGTACAGCAGCACTGCGCTAAAACAGCTGATCACAACGTTCACACGCGATACAGAGGGCTTCATACTCCACTAGCACCCGCCGCGCTGACATTCGCGATACAGAGGGCTTCATACTCCACTAGCACATGATCACCTGAATTTCCTCCTAGAGCACCATTGTGTTATTTTTACCCACATATCTCTCAGAGGGGCGTGGGGAGTGGCTCCTTGTTTTCATCTAAAGTAACAGACAGAGAATCAACACTTTTG